AGGTCCCATTTGTTTATGTACAAGTCTTTTTTGATGTGTGAATATGTGCTTTTACTTCCTTGGTAAATACTTAGTAATGGAATTGCTGGGTTCTAGAGAGGTTTATTTTTTAACTTTAGTAAAGAACTGCCACCAGAAATGTATGTGATTTCCACTTGTTCTACAACCAACAGTCTTTTTAATTTTAGCTATTCTAGTGGATATGTGACGATATTTCTTTAATTTGTGTTTCCCTGATGACTAATGATTTTGAATACCTTTTCATGTGCTTTTTTTTTTTTTTGTCATTGTCTTTTTAAGTCTTTTGCCCATTTCAGGTCTTGTGCACACTTTTTATTGCTTATATTTTATCTTTTTATTACTCATCTTTAGGAGTTCCTTCTACTTGTAGGTACAAATCTTTTATCAGGTATTTGTTTTGCAGATGTTGTCTCCCAGTCTGTGTTTCTAGTGTTTGGACCTTCTGTGGTCTATTTATTGTCCTTCTTTTCAGGTTAACAACTGGACTCATTACTTTAAATTTAGAAGTGTTTCACCTAAATCGGTATTTAAGCATATTATTTGAAAATGTAACTGATATACTACTTAGAAATAAGTTATCTTTGTGGACATCCTACACAGTGTTACAATTTTTGCTTTAAATAGTTGTCTTTTAAATGAAGAGAAGAAAATAAAACAGTCATCTGTATTTACCCACATATTGATCATTTCTGGTATTCTCCATTCCTTCTAGTAGATCTGAGATTAATCTGGTGTCATTTCCCTTCAGCCTGAAGAATTTCCTTTAGCATTTTTTTAGTGCAAATCTGATGATGAATTATCTTAGTTTTGGTTTACCTGAAAATATTTTCACTTTATCCTAATCAAAAAAAGCTTTATTGCTGTATTATATATATATATGTGTGTGTGTATGTAACTGAATCACTTCACTGTATACCTGAAACTGACATTATCAGTCAACTACATTTCAATAAAAATTAAAAATTAAAAAAGGCAAAAAAGCTTTATTGAGATACAGTAAACGTGTATTCACCGGTTTTAAGTGTACAATTCAGTAATTTTTAGTATATTTGCAGAGTTGTGCAGTAATCGCCAGAGTCTAATTTTAGAACCCTGTGCCTGTTAGCCCTCATTCTATTGCAGTCACTACCCCCTGCTCATTACTAGATAACCTCTTATTTACTTTATGTCTATAAATTTACCTCATTTGGACATTTCATATAAATGAAATGTACAATATGTGGTCTTTTGTCTCTCACTTAGCATAATGTTTTTGAGGTTCATCTATGTTGTAGCATGTATCAGTCCTTTGTTCCTTTTTATTGCTGAATTTGTATTCCATTGTATGGTAGCCCACATTTATTTATTCATTCGTCAATTGATATATGTTGGATTGCTATACTCCTTGGTTATTATTATTGCGGCTATGAACATCTGTGTACAAGTTTTTGGGTAGACACATGTTTTCATTTCTCTTGGGTAGATTAGAGTAGAATTGCCATCACCCTCACTTTTGAAGAATATATTCAATGATTATAGAATTTGGGATTGTTTTTAAAAGTACTTCAAAAATTGTCCTTCCACTGTCTTCTGGCCTCCATTGTTTCTGATGAGAAGTCATTTATCATGCATTTTGTTCTACTGCCCCTGTATGTAATGTGTTGATTTTTTTCCCTCTAAAGTTGCTGCTTCTTGTTCTTGTTCTTCTTCTTTTTTTTTTTTAATCTCTGGCTTTCAGCGGTTTGATTATGATGTTTTCCTTGTATCTATCCTCCTTGGAGTTTTGCTGAGCTTCCTAGATTTGCAGATTAATATTTTTCACCAAATTTGGTAAATTATCAGCCATTATTTCTCCAAATTGTTTTTCATTTTTCTGGGATCCAGTTAAATATATATTAGACCAGTTACTAGTGTTCCTAAGTTTGCTGAGGCTTTATTCATTCTTCCCCAAGTTTAAAAAAAAACCCTCTTCTCTCGATTGGATAATTTCTTTTGCTCTTTCTTCAAGTTTCCTATCCTTTTCTTCTAGTGGCTCTAATCTCCTAGTAAACCCATCTAGTTAATTTTAAATTTCAAATATTATAATTTTGAGTTCTAAAATTTATGTTAAAAATTTGTTTCTTTTTCTCTATTGAGATTCTCTATGAGTTCAGTTACTTTGACCATGTTCCTTTAAAAATGTGTTTATACTGGCTACTTTAAAGTCCTTGTCTGCTAATTTCAGTATCTGAGTCATTTTGGGGTCTGTTTCTATTGACTTTTTTTTTTTCTCCTTGAGGGTCACATTTTTCTGCTTCTGTGAATAGTAATTTTTTTAACTATACACAACCCTTGAACAACACAGGGTTAGGAATGCCAACCCTCTGTGCAGTCAAAAATTCATGTTTACCCTGAAATTGTGGAGATTTGGCTTTACACTTTGATAGAATACATCTGGAAATCTTCAGGGTGTTTACTGATTCCTGCATTGGTGGGACTCAGATTCCAAAATGTCTTGCAGGGGGCAGCACCTGAAATCTGGCTAGTTCTTTCAGCCTTCTAGCTATTTTTTTTTCCTACAGAGGTCCTTGAAGTCTCCTCTGTGCACGTGCTGTTAAGGGGTTATCTGTAAGAGAGTTTATATTAAAGTGTTTGGCGCTCCCTCCTGTGACTTACACCTCTCCAAGATTTCTCATTCAATTTCCAGCTGCTCTTGTTAATCCTGAACTTCATCCTCTGATATCCCAAGCCAAAAAGACTGACTTTGCTCAAGTTCCAGCTATTCTGCACCACAGGGATTCACTTGGCTGGGAGTTGGAGGTTAAGGGATTCTTCTGGGGAAAAGCTGTATAAAAGTGGATCTTATTCATTGTGTTCTCTTTCAAGGGTCAAATCCCCTCCAGTTTCTGCTTGCTTTTCAGCACTCTTCCGTGCTTTCAAATAGTTTTCTTTCTGAAATTTAAGATGTTCCTGAATCATCACATCTGAATATACTATTTGGAAAATTCCACAGCATGTTGTACCTTTATGGTTCTTTATGCATGTGATTTTTCTCCTTCCAGTTATCTATTGCAGTAACTCCAAAATGTAGTAGTTTAAAATAGCCATTTTATTATGCTTATGATTTCTGTAGGTCAGGAATTTGGGAAGTGCATAGTCAGCACGACAGGTTTCTATTCTGTATATCTGGGACCTCATCGGGGAAGGCTTGAAGTGTGGGGTTAATGCTAATAGATGGATCAGCAGTCACCCAGAAGTGTTTACTCACACATCTGGCAGTTGATGGCTGGCTGTCGGCTGGGCCCCCACCTGAAACTGTGGGCCCAAACACCTATACATGGTCTCCTCATAGCACTGCGGCCTTGGATTTTTTACAAAGCAACTCAGGACACAAGTATTGTGTTCTAGAGAACCAGCTATAAGCTGCATTGTTTTTTATTATCTAGTCTCAGAAGTTGTCTGGCAGAAGTTACATAGCATCACTTTCTCTGCTTTATTGGTCAACCAGCCTTTTTTATTGGCCTAAATTCAAAGGGAGAGACATAGATCCACCTATCAATGCGAGAAGTGTCAGAGAATTTGCAGACATGTTTTACAACTACCACACTCATTTAATAAACAGTAAGCTCCCTCTGTGTCCTAGCACAGTCTTACGTACATCTCTATAGACATTCACTGACGTATTGAATTTTTCTTCTTCAGTGTAGTAGAGTTAGACCTAAAGTAAATTTGTTTAAATCTTTATGAAAGGAGTAAGGTATTTTACTTCTTAAAAACATTTCCTTAGATTGATTATTTTTTGTCTTTTTACTTGTAGATTATAGTATTTAATGAAAAATCCATGCTTAAGGGGTGAAAATGGCAGGCTTCCTAGATAATTTCCGTTGGCCAGAATGTGAATGTATTGATTGGAGTGAAAGAAGAAATGCAGTGGCTTCTGTGGTAGCAGGTATATTGGTAAGTGAAAAAGCCGGGTTGGTGACATTATGCCTCATCTTTTGCCATGAAGAAAATTTTTATATATATATATATTTTTTATAGAATTATAGTCAATTTACAGTGTTGTATCAATTTCAGGTGTACAGCATAATGCCCTGAAAATTAATCCTGATTCCTTTGAACTGTGAATACCTGTGATAATACAATTTTTGTAGGCAGTAGCATTTTTAAGTCAATTACATAATATGTATAATTCCTTTAAGATTCTCAAAGACTCAGAATTTGACGTAGCTAATGTTGTGACTCATCGAAGTCCGGGATGTGTAGACAGCAGTAACAATCTCAGGCTGCGTTAGAACTGAAGCCCTGAGGTGCTCTAGGGAAGGGTTGCCATCTCCATTCCCTGGCTGCAGGACAGACAGGCAGGAAGTGAGAGGAAGAAATTTGTTCACAAACTATTGCTTAATTTTCCTCCCAACATTTTTTTTTCTTCTTTTAACTTTTTATTATTGAAAATGTCAAACATATAAACAAAAATAGAGACAATAGTATAAAGAGTCCCTTCTTATCCCCTGCACTTATCATTGAGCTTCAAAAAAAAAATCAGATCACGTCTAATCTTTTAGTGTTCCATCAGCCATTCTCTGCCCCTACTACATTTTTGAAGCAAATTTCAGTATCTGTTACACTTAGTTTAAATTCATCTTTTTCATGCTCAAAACTACAATGAGGTATCACTTCACATAGGTCAGAATGGCCATCATCAAAAGATCTACAAATAATAAATGCTGGAGAGGGTGTGGAGAAAAGGGAACCCTCCTACACTGTTGGTGAGAATGTAAATTGGTATAGCTATTTTCGAGAACAGTTTGGAGGTTCCTTAAAAACTAAAAATAGACTGACCATATGATCCAGCAGTCCCACTCCTGGGCATATATCCAAAAGAAACTCTAATTTTGAAAAGATACGTGCACCCCAGTGTTCATAGCAGCATTATTTATTTACAATGGTCAGGACATGGAAGTAACCTTAATGTCCACTGACAGATGAATGAATAAAGAAGATGTGGTACATATATACAAGGGAATACTACTCAGCCACAAAAAGAATAAAATAATGCTATTTGCAGCAACATGGATGGTCCTAGAAGATATCGTACTAAGTAAAGTAGGTCAGACAAAGAAAATATTACGTGATATCACTTATATGTGGAATCTAAGTTGAACTTACTTACAAAATAGAAATAGACTCACAGACATAGAAAACAAACTTACGGTTACCAAAGGGGAAGGAAGTGGGGAATAAATCTGGGATTAGCAGATACAGACCACTATATATAAAACAGATAAATAACAAGGTCCTACTGTGTAGCACAGGAACTGTATTAAATATCTTCAGGTAAACTGTAATTGAAGAGAATAAAAAATTAAAGATAGATAAATTCATCTTTTCAGTATATAGTTCTATACCTGAAGTCTAGTAGAAAGAATTGAATAAATAAAGCAGAGTAAGAACTAAAAATAATTATGAAGCAGTCTGCATGCAGAATTCTTTTATCTGTTTCTTAGTTTTTCTTGCTCTTTATGGTTGTCTCGTCTGCACTTAATTTGTCTGTGAAATTCTTAGTAACTTGTGTGCTTTAAGTCTATTCAGCCTAGTTTACCTAGAAACATTACATTTTACTAACTCATGTTTAGTCAGTTTTACAGTATTTAATCAATTAAATAATTAATTAAAACTATACCGAGCTTAGATATTTTTTGGAGACATGGCATCTCATTTGTGGAAGCAAAAATGCTTGGGCACATTAAAAAGAAATATTCATTTTTTTTGAATATGAACAAAAGAATGAAACACATGAGATAATCAGGGAGCTGGTTAGTTGGAGGTTAGTTAAGAGAGCTTTGGTTGCATGTAATTTTATGGTGGATGAAAGAAGGAGATAATTCGTTCCTAGATAGTAAAATTTTCATTTTGCATTGAGGGCAGAACTTCAGAATCTTACGAAGATTTCATTATATTCACCTCATATGCTATAGAGAATAAGTAAACAAGGGATTCTTATTTTTTGTATTTCAATATCTAAAAGTAGGCATATTTTATGTTTCAGTTACATGGTCCATTAGAAAAAGGGTAATGTTAAGGAACAGGTATCATGCTAAGCCAAAGTGTCAGTGGTACTTTAATGACATGGATTCTTTCTCAAGTTTTTTACAGGTTGGTGGATAATGATTGACGCAGCCGTGGTATATCCTAAGCCAGAACAGCTGAACCATGCCTTTCACACATGTGGTGTTTTTTCCACATTGGCTTTCTTCATGTAAGTATGAAGGTAATTCTCAATGCAAGGTTATTTTTCTAAAAACATTTTTGCCTCACAGTTTAATACTATCTGGAATAACTTTTTAACTTAATTAATAGATTCTTTTTAACATAAATATATGTGTGTATATATTCCCACTTTATTAAGATTTTTAAATCAAGAATGAGTGTTGAATTTAGTCAGATAATCTTTTTATCATCTATAGAGATTATCTTGTGATGTTTGTCCTTATATTTGTTTAACTGACTAATTACTATGGTTGTTTTGTTTTGTTTTGGAGGAAGGTAATTAGGTATATTTATTTATTTTTTTAATGGAGGTTCTGGGGATCGAACCCAGGACCTTGTGCATGCTAAGCATGCACTGTACCACTGAGCTATACCCTCCCCCCAATTACTATGTTTTATAGGTCCTAAGATTATTTTTATATTTTAATATCTCTGAACATCAGGATGCTTTTTGTAGTCAGTGGTATCTCATCATTACAAAAGATAGTATTTTTTTCCTTCTTGGCAGTATAAAAAAATAATGGTGCATCTTAAAAATTAATGGCATCTTAGCTGTAACAAAATATGTTATATTTCTAGATTTTTTAGTAGTGATTCATCCTGGAGCATTCTAACACACTTACCTTTTACCATGGAGTATTATATTTTTTAAATGTGTTACTTGACTGTGTTTGCCAATATTTGGGGAAGGGCAGGATTGGCTTTACATGAGATTGATACATGGCTTTTCTCTTTTATTAAATCATTTTCAGGTTTGTCTACTATTTCACTTCATAAAAATTTGGAAGCTTTTCATGGATATCTTTTAATAATTAAAAAAATATGTTAAATGTTAAGATTACATAATTTTCTTAAATGTTAGGGGTTTTAAAAAAGAAACTGTAGAAGACAGAACTACTTATATTCATTCAGGATGCTAAGGAAAGACAATTCTTTCTACAAAGCACCTTGTTATAACAAAAATGGAAAGAGAAGCTGAACAAAGTGGACCTGTTTCTAATATATAGACCAGTGTTCTCTGAATTTGAGAAATGAATCAGAGAAAATCACTTGACTTTTAACACCAAGAGAAACTTTTAAACCCTGATTATAACAAGAACCTTAAAATGGGATACCTCACAGTGAGTCATTCATGTATAAATGTAAAACAGGCAAAGAAGTCAGAAAATTGACCCCTCTTTTATAATCACTGGAGACAAGTGATAGTAATCTCTCAAAATTAAGTGTGTTTTCTGGGTGTACTTTAGAAAAATAAAACTAACGTAACATTTCTACCCGCTAGGATATTTAAGTTAAAAGATATGTTCAGTTATTCAGATACTGACTTTAGTTAGGAAATGTTTCCCTTCTAAATGGTGTGTAAATATCTGTGAATATTTTAGCAGCATGAAAGCTTATTAGATGATTTTGTATTGTTCTAGGATAAATGCTGTGTCCAATGCTCAGGTGAGAGGTGACAGCTATGAAAGCGGCTGTTTAGGAAGAACAGGTAAATGCACTTCTGAGTTGTTAATGTATGCTGGCTAAAAAAGAGAGATTTATCAGCAGAAAAAGCAAAGCCCATAGTGAGTCTTTATTTAGGAATGGTAATGATTATATAGGATTTTTTTAAAATTTACTTTTAAGAAAAATTTTTTGTGTTATTTAAATCGTTAAGAAAATTAAAGTTACTGTCAGAAGTTTCTATTTTTTGTCGTGTTATATGCCCATAATATGTAGGTAAAATGTTACCATTCAAATAGATGGATCTTGGGCTCCAGGTTATTCCTCCAGTGCTAATGATGGATTTATTTTTATTCCAAATGTTGACCAATAATATTAGTTACAAGATGGCTGACCATGATTACTAACAACAAAGTATGGACGCATTAAGGGATCAAACCTAGGACTGCAGTGTTTTTCACCTTCAGTTGTGATCACCTGAGTAACACCAACAGACTGCAACGAAAGTATTTAGAAGAAACATTTTTTTTTTAATTTGAACTCTTTTGAATTGTCATTTAGTAGTATTTTCTCTTATTCAGGCTATAACACATTCTGTTAGAATTCCAGTAGTTTTGTTTTCAGTGGAATTTCCATGCCATACATGAAAAGCACGGTGCTAGATGTCCTATTTCCAACCTTTGAGGACTAGGGAGGGTGATTTGTGTTTATGGTCAGAAATTTGGACTAGGTGGGAGGGGAATTTTGAAGGATGATTAAGAATAATAGCAAGTACTTGTGGAGTACTTAGTGTGTGCCTGAGACTGTCTTGAATGCTTGACACGTATTAACTCAGTTAATTGTCACAGTAGTCCTATGAGGTAGGTGCTCTTGTCCTCAGTTTTAGGTGAAGAACTAAGGCACAGAGAACTTAAATAACTTGTCCAAAGTCATAAAGCAAGTAAGTGGCGGGGCCAGGACCTGAGCACTGACAGTCTGGTTCCAGATCCCATGCTTTTAGTCACCGTGCTGTGATCGTCTCCGATCAGGAGCCATTTCGTCTCTTTGTCTGTAGTACCGTGTGTGTGTGTGTGTGTGTATTTTTTTGGTCAGCATAATTGAGGATAATTTATATGAAATATAAAATAAAACTCATCAACTTAAAAGTATACAGTTTAACAAGTTTTGACAAATGTATACAGCAAGGTAACTACTGCTACAATCATGATATAGGATGTTTCCATTACTCCAGGAGGTTCCCTCTTACCCCTTGTAGTTAATCCTGTTTCCCCACCTCCTGGCCCCTACTGATCTGCTTTCTATCAGTGTAGTTTTCCCTTTTCTAGAATCTGTAAATGGAATCATAGAGCAAGTATCATGAGACTTTAAACCAAATAAAGGAGCCAAAGAGCTTAGCTTAAAAAAAAATTTTTTTTTAAATGTAAAAACGCTTAACATGAGATCTACTCTCAACGCAATTTCAAGTGCATGATACACTATTGCTAACTGTAGGCACCATACTGTACAGCAGACCTCTGGAACTTACTCATCTTGTAATAGCTGAAACTGTACACCCGCTGAACAGCAATTCCCCACTTCCCACTCCATGGCCACTGTTACACTCTCTGTTTCTGTGAGTATGACTCTTTTAGATTCCTCACATAAAGGGAATGGGCCTTGAAAAAAGGAGATCCTGCCATATGTGACAACACAGATGAACCTGGAGGACATTATGCTGGGTGAAATAAGCCAGTTACAGGGGGGACAGATTAGCTTTCTTTTGTTCCTGATGCTTTAATTGCTGATGCAGATCTTATAATTTCACTTCCATTGGGATCATTGAAGAATTGGAGAGGATGCGGATAGTGACAAATGACAGACAAACCTAAGTTAAAAGTGCGTTTGTGTGTGTGTGCATGAGTATGCGTGCATACACATGCATGCATGTCTTGTGCCCCAGTAATATCAGAAATGGTTGAGAGTAAAAAATAAAGCATGTATTGGCAAGTGAAAATGTACATAGAGCACACGATAATTGATTTTGATCATTTTTCTTTAAAGAATATTCCGCAGACATTGCTGTGGATTATGTTACTATTATCTATTTTCTGTAGAAAATTTCGTTGTAACTTAACCAAAGCTTTTTAGCTTAAAGGTAGAGCTTGTATTTGCCTTGGGTCTGTCTGGTTCCAAAGCCCATAGTTTTTACTCTTAGTAAGTGACTGTTACATTTTGTTCCATGATTATTCCCTACCCAATTAAAATTCACAATACAGTTTATATTTATATTAGTGCCTTTAGTGCAATTTCTGTCTAATGCTTCAAAATTTAAGGGCAAACTGTCTTCTAGGCATGCTCAGATGTTGCCACACTAAGCTTCCATGCTACTTAAATGGTTTATTTGTAATTTAGCCCCATTTAATTCCTGGAGGAATTTGCAGGAAAGTCTTATCAAAGTAATAATACACTACAAATGGAACTGTTAAATAAGAAAGCTATAAAAAGGAATAGATACTAGATAGAAAAAAGATCATGCACTTAGAATCTAGGATAAGATGGATCCTCTTAATTGTTCATTAACCTTGGCCATGAGCTTCCTTGCAGTCAAAGCAAAAAAGGGAAAATGTTATAGTTTACTTTTTGCTAAAGAAAAACATACTCATTTTTCAAGGGAAGTTTTTTTCTTATTTAACTCTATTAGAACATTTTTGTGTTGTCATATATAAAGGACATGAAGGAAGATAATTATAAGAATTTTTGATAGTTCCTTTCATTCACTTTAGATGAAAGCTGTGACTGAATTTGGAGGATGTCTTTCTCGAAGGATCTAAACATTACTGTATATTTCTGGGGACCTGCTTAGTATTATAATAAAATTTAGATAATCTAGGGACCCATTTCTCTCAAGTGTCAGCTGTTCTTACCGTGCTGAGCTTTCAGCTTCCTGCATATCTGGTGCCTAAAATATATGAATTTTTGTTCACCTAGTAACAGAATATCTGCAGTTGCGGCAAACTTAGCTTTCTCTTATGGAAACTGGCCCAGATTTTATTTTCACTTCAGGGGAGCTTTATTCCCCTTCCACAGGGCGATAGGCTGTCAATATACCTGTGATCAGGGTTTGGCACAAATGCTAACCTTCTTTCCTAAAAATGTGTTGAATCTACTCAAGTGTCCGGATGATCACTTTATTGAGATTCTATTGTGTAAATTCTAGAATTCTATACAGTAGAGGTTTGAAGAGATGATTTTGTCCTTGATCTTTTCAAGGGCATGTGGTACCGATTGGCTGCCTCAGCCATAAGAGACTGAATACATGGCTGCTGTTAGCACCATATTGAGTAGTGGCATGATATTAACATTGATGAAAAAGGGGTGTATGTTTCTTATTCATTTGTAGTCTTTCATTCCTGTGTGGTAATGGGTATCTGAAATATATTTGCTATTTCTAATAGAGCAATTACCTTGATAATATATACAACAGGGTAATTTTTCAGTTAGGGTTTAATTAATCAGCTTAGTCAAATAATTACTTAGGAAGCTTGCCTAGTTTAGTTTATTCAACTGTTAGCCAGCAGAATGGTAGCTTACCCCTTTTCCATTTCCAAGTGTGGCTTAACACCTTTTAGTTAATTTCTTTTTTTTTAATCTTAATTCAGTTAATTGTTATAGCAGGTACATGTAAATACGTGACTGTCTTTGATAGGCATAACACGTTAGGTTAACCGTGTTCCGGTATTATGTATTGTTAAGACAGAGAGCTGCAGAATGCAGAAATGAGCAAAGTCATACAACCTATTCTTCATTCTTCACACAGGCGCTCGAGTTTGGCTCTTCATTGGTTTCATGTTGATGTTTGGGTCACTTATCGCTTCTATGTGGATTCTTTTTGGCGCGTATGTTACCCAAAGTAAGTATTTCGTAGGAGAGATTCTGATATGTCTTTTATATTTGGCTTAGTGTGTTAACTCCACCTGGAGTAAAATTTAGTTTAATTATTCAGGTAGCATGAAGGTAAAACTCTATGCTAAGCTTTATAAATTGTTTAATAAAACTTCTTGGTAGGGTCATCGAGTGCAGTGGGATAACCATGTTAGGAAATCCAGGCCACTGACAGAGACCAGGTAACTCAGCCATCTCTGGAGGCTCTGATTTCCTTCCTTCAGGCTCTACACTAGAGACCTGTTTACTGACTGTGGTGGTAAAAGTGAGAAACCTGTACAGATCCACAGCCCCTTCTACACTATTCTAAAATCCATAAAGTGCTGAAGGTCGAGTTTTTCATAACCAGTTTGGCAGCAAAACCTGGCCTAAATTGACCTGGGGCTCTTTATGGTCTTTATTCCATATGGTAAGTATTCACATATTTTCTTAAAGGAATGTGGTTGTATTTGATTATGGGATGCTCGTCCAAACTCAGTTGGGGGTGCTATGTGATATTCTTCTTATATCTGAAAAACTCTGAGTTCCAAAACATGTCTTGCCCCAAGGGTTTCAAGGCAAAGCGTTATGAACCCTAGTATCTTTCATTCCATTAATACCTCTTCTCTCCAACCCCAGCGTGTAATTGTTGAGTGCTAGGTACAAGGGGGAGTTTTTTTAAGGGTAAGACTGAAGGTATGTGTAGCCTTCATGCAGAAACTTGCTACAGTGGAGAGAGCTCTCTGTGCACCATTCTGAGCTTTGCGACTGTTCCAGTCACGATAGCTTTCCATCCAGGGTGGGGCTAAAGAGCAGAAGTGGAGGAATCAGAAGACCCTGTTGCACTGGCTCTCTCCCTTCACGCCAAAGACATGAATCAGTTTCTGATACCTGTGTCTCTGGAATCTTTGTCACTCTGCTTAACTGTCAAATCTCTTTGTCCTGATTCACAGCTGGCCTTTTACTATCTTGATATGATGAGTATAAGATCTTCGGAACACCTTTGTCTTTTGTACAAAATAAGTCAGTACAAGAGGACAGTCGTTGGCTAATGTTTAGTACTACTCACCAGATATATCTAAAATATATTATTTTAGTTAATTAAAAATACTAACGGAGCAGACAGTTCTAGTATGAAGCTCATTTGAAAGTGCTTTTTTAAAAACAGCTTTATTAAGATATAATATGCATGTCATGTAGTTCAGCCATTTAAAGTGTACAGTTCAATGCTTGGTATAGTCACAGAGTTGTGCTACCATCACCATAATCCAACTTTAGAACACTTTTATCACCCCAAAAAGAAACTTCTTACCCATTAGCTGTCACTCCTCATTACCCTTTGCCAGCCCTAGGCAACCACTAATCTACTTTCTGTAGATTTGCCTGTTTCTAAGTGGAATCATATCGGGAAGGACATTTTAAGCTCATTTTATCCCTGACTCTAAGAAGGGTGGGTTGCTATTATTAGTTTCCTTGGAAAGTCTGCATACTTACATGAAGCAACACGTGAAACTTTCTAGTTTCCATTATGAAAACAGGAATAAATGATCATTCCTGAAAGGTATGTAGGGAAGTATTAAGTTTGTAAAGGTTATACATGCATTGGTTGATCTTAATCTTTGAAGAACTAGTACATATTGAGGAATTTCTCAATTACGGGTCTCATCTTCATATTTCTACAGCATTGCTCATTGTATACACTTTGTAGTTTGTAAACTGAATATACTTAGAGCATTTCTAACAAGTATTTCAAATCTTTTACTGTACAGATTTTCTGGAATCATAACAGCAGCTAATGTTTATATAGCACTTTATGGGCCGCATACTGTTGTAGGCACTATGCATAGTCCACATTTATCACACTCTGGGGCAGGTGCTATTACAATGTCCGTTTTACCAGTGAGGAAACTAAGGCATAATGAGGTGAAATAATCTTCCCGTGGTCATACGTTTAGTCAGTGGTAGAGTTAGGATTCAGATCCAGGGTGTATGACTCAAACTTGGAGCTTTTAAGCATGCAGCTGTATTGTTTGCTATGTGATATCCAAAGCTGCAAATTGAGCATTTCTTCATCCTATCTAGTATTTTTAAACAACATTTATAGTTTTATTAACTATCCATAAAAATATAAGTCATTTCCAGTTTTTTCTTTTTCTTCCTATGAAGATAGTACCTGTCTCCCAGGAGAACATGATGATAAATTACAATTCTTTTTATATATGTCAGATTTGCACAATAAAATTCCTGAATTCATGAAAGAAAATAAATGAACAGACTCTTAAATCATCAAGAATTTAATTTGTAGGGGGAGGATATAGCTCAGTAGTAGAGTGCGTGCTTAGCATGCACAAGGTCCTGGGTTCAATCCCCAGTACCTTTGTTAAAAAATTGTTTTAATGTGTACCTGTGTAACATTGTGTATCTCTGTATTGGCCACAGGACGCGGAGGTATGAGCTGCTGCTTCCTTAGCAGTTTCCATGCAGCTCAAACCATGGCAACTACTTTAGACAAAAGGAGAACCTGATAAATTCATTGTCTTTTATCCGGAGTGACAGCAATCCTTTGTTTTGGGAGAATGAGACCGGCATTTTCTCATTTCAGTTTCTTCGTGGATTTCTTAGAGTTAATGAATAACCACAGCATTTTGTAGTGTACAGAGCGTGTCATTGTGAATGGCACAAAGACTTTGTGACTGCCATTTGCCTTTTGTGATCTTCTGATCTGTTTTACTTTGTGCAGATACTGATGTTTATCCAGGACTAGCTGTGTTTTTTCAAAATGCACTTATATTTTTTAGGTAAGTTGCCTAATTTCTTACTTAGACCTATAGTTTTACAGAAATGTCATCTTTATTGTAAGGGCAGCATGTGCAATGGGACATGTAAAATCCCTTGGATTAGTTACAATGTGTAGAACTTCTTTTAAAAGGTGAAAATTCTACAGTTGCATAGAAGCATACACAAGCGTTTAAGTGGGGCCCTGCTATGTGCCAAGACCTCAGCTGGATGTTACCAGCTGAGGTCTTGTTACCTTTTAAATGCCCATTTAATTATCTTAAGTATATAACCCAGATGGTGTTCCTGTTTTATAGATGAGGAAATAAGACTCAGAGCATAATTTAAGGACACCTAGCTAGCAAATCCAGAACAGGGATTTGAACCGAGACTGCTGCTTCCATAACCTGTGTTTTATTAAGAAACCATATCATGTACCTTTAATAAAAAAAAGAAACAAAGAAAGGAGTTAGAATTAATACATAGTATGCACATCATACATAAAACCTGGTTGGGGAATTAGATTTTTTGATTAGGTTTTTAAGATAACTTAAAAGTATAAAAATAAAACAATGTTAAAAGTATTTTTGGGGGGCAGTCTTCTAAAAAGCTTCCAAAGTGAAGCCTGTATCCTATACTTTTCAGAATGAAATGTCTTTTAATGTAAAGATAGGTATTTTAGGCATCATTTATGAAAATTATATCCCCTACCCCCCACCCCACCCACAAAAGTATTAAGATCTAAGCCTTGAAGAACTTTGTTATGTCGCTGGTTTTAAGCAGTTTGATTATGATGTGCTATGATGTAGTTTTCTTCAGATTTCTGCTTGGGGCTCATTGAGTTTCTTAGATCTGTGGATTTATAGTTATCATCAAATTGGGAATCTTTTCAGCCATTATTTCTTCAGATATTTTTTCTGCCCACCCTGCCCTTCTGGGATTCCAGTTACATGTGTATTAGACTGCTTGAAGTCGTCCCACAGCGCACTGATGCTTGCTTCTCGTTTTTGTCGTCTCTCTGTGTTTCACGTGGGATGGTTTCCATTGTTGTATCTGCAGGTTCACTAATCTCTGCTTCTGTCGTGTCTCATACAGTGTTACTCCCATCTGGTGTGTTTTTCATCTGAGACATTGTATTTTTCATCTCTGTTAGTGTAATTTAGGTCTGTGTTTTTACATTCTCCACATCTCTCTGTAACATGCTTCCCTCTACCTCCTTGAACATATGAAGTATGTGTGTAACCATTTCAGTGTCCTTGCCTGATTGTGTCAATTCTGAGTCTGTTCCTGTTGACTATTTTTATTTTCTTTCCATTTTGGGTCTCTTTTCCCCTATTTGTGTTCTTTGCATTCAGCTGGTTGGGGGGGGGGCTGGACTTTTTGGTATTTCTTTAAACGTTTTTGAGCTTTGTTCTGGATGCAATCCAGTCACTGGGAAACAGCTTGATCCTTTTGAGTCTTGCTTTTAAGCTTCATAAGGCAAGACCAGAGCAGCTTTAGACGAGGGTTGCATGTCCCCCTTACTGAGGCAGTTACACTTCTGAGTACTCTTTCTGATGCTCCATGTATTCTGAGGCTTTCTACTCTGCTTTATGAGATTGTGAAGTCTTCCCAGCCCTGTAGGAGCTCTGGGAATTGTTCTTTCCAAAGTTTCCTTCCCTTTTCTTGGGGAGTTTCCTCACATGCATCTACTATCAGTACTTGACAGAAGACTCAGGGGGTACCCCTGCAGACCTCCGGGGCTCCCTCTCTCCAGCTCTCTGTACTCTGCCTTGCAGACTCTAGCCCTGAACTCTCAACTGTTTCCTCAACTCGCTGTGCTTTGCCTGGGTTTCCTCTTACTGCACTGTGGCCTGGACACTTTTGGTTTTGAAAGATGTTTGATGGTTTCTGCTATCTTATGATTATATTTCTTGGCAAGTGGCTGACAACCTTCTAGGAATACAGTGAGTTTTCATGAAGACATCTTAGGCACTGTTTAGAGATCAAATTTAAATTCACATTCAGCCCTTTATAGTGGTAGATGAGTCCATATAAATGATAGTTGGATGAACAGTGTAAAGGCCTGTGCTCACGTGGACAGTGACTGCCGACCACATCAACTGTGTGCTCTGCCCAGAGGCTGGCAAGTTATCCAGCCAACTGTATACAGCTCCTGCTTCTCTGGCTGCTCTGCCTCTGTTTCCTTTGCAAGCTGATCCTCCACCCACTAACTTTGGGAGTTTCTTAAGGTTCTGTCCTAGGCCCCTTCTTGACTCATTCTCTTTCTCCAGGTGAGCTCCTTTATCTTGAGGCTTCAGTTGTTGCCTACATGCCATTGAGGCACAGATGTCTGTCTCCACGGCTAAACCACGTGTCTGGATTCTTACTTATACCCTCTCAGGTGGCTGACGTTTTAAATCCAAGCCATCCAACATACCCACAACTCAACTCAGGGTCCCAGAGTGTCCCATCTCCGCGCCTCTCCTCCTTCCCCATACTTTGCCGAGGTGATTCCCACTCTTCTTTTAGATCTCAGTTCGGTCACCACTTCCTCAGGAAAACTGTTCTTGCCCCCTCGAACTAGGTCAGATCCTTGTATTTCCCTCTCTTGGTGCCATGTGCTTTGCCTTTAGAGCATGTCTTTGAGTTGGGATTTGATTGTCTCCGTCATTGGACTCTTAGCTCCGTTAATATGCACATTTGTCTTGTTTTGATTCACAGTCACCTTTCTAGTGCTTAGCTAGGTGCCTGGTGCCTAGCCAGTACTTAGTTATGATAATTATTTGTTAAATGAATGAAGAATGGCAGCATGGTCTGTTTTAGGATTCTTCAGTTTTTGCAAGTCAGATACTGTAGAATCCTAGAGATGTGAGTGGCCCTAATGCCAACCACTATGAGAAGTGCCCCCTTTCCTTACAAGTATCCTATCTAATAACTTTCTAGACTTTAAGAAAGGATATTTAATTAAACTTAGCCATCAAGGTCAGCAAACAGCTTTAAAAAACAAGCAAATTCAGACCAACACCACCACAATCTTTAATTTTAGAAATTGATACAAAAGGGATCAGTGAGGTACCCAGCAAAACATATTTAGAAAATAAATTCTCTGTTGCTTGTTCTGTATGATTTTTCCTCCTAATTTATTTTAATATCTTTCTAGCACTCTGATCTACAAATTTGGAAGAACTGAAGAGCTATGGACCTGAGATCACTTTTCAAATCACATTTTCCTTTTGTTATATTCTATTTGTAGATAAGTTTTTATCTCTCAATATAATTTACACATTGCCAAATGGAATAGATTGTACATTAAATGTTTTGTTTCTTTACACTATTATGCTCTAAGTTTTGAGATAGTTTTATGAAATTTCTGTCCTTTTTTTCATTGAATAGATTATTAATATGTACATGAGACTATATAGATGGGATGATGAGTGTCAGTGTTTTATTCTTAAAGACTTCAAGTTTAGTCTGTTCCCTGAGCCAGAGTTGTATCATCATGTCATTTTAGAATTAACTACTTTGTCTCAGTATCGCTCATTTTCAAAGATGTGCAAAGAACACAGCTCCTTATAGCTGAAATAAGCATTGAGCCATTAAAAAGGGTATTTCAGCAAGTTTTAATTTATTTTGGCTTAAAAATGAGATTTTTTTTAAAGGAAAAAAGTGTTTGCTCTTATGTATAAAAGAAGTGGACTTTTATATGAAGATTTTTTTAAATGCCTGAAGGACTAGTTTGAAAGCCTCTTTTAAAAACAATTCCTCTAATATGACTTGATTTGCGAAGGGACGATACTAGAGCAGATAGGCTCAGTTTTGTATGGCTGGTGCAAGGAGACCGTAAGGCAGCTCAGCAGCATGCTTCTTAAAAAAGCAGCTTAAACAATCCATCCCCGGGGTTCTCTTTTGACAGCCTACTATTATCTGACGTTACAAAATTCAGTATCAAGCAAGTTTGAGACAAGTGCACTTTAAAAGCATGAACCATATAACAAAAGGTGGAATAATTAGTTTCAAGATAAAGCACTTCTTCCCAAAGCGGATTATTATGACCTAGTGAAAAAGTAGGCATTTCATCCACTTACTTACTGACTGCAAGTCTCTCTTCGCTCTGGCGCTCAAGCTTTAGGGTGAACTCTTCCTGCAAAATACATGTTTAACCTGAAAGTTCATACTCCAGGCAGAAACTTCTTTTGCTGAGTTTGGAACACTGTGTTTGCACTGTGTGTATTCCCGTGAGAGATTTCAAAGGGACCATTGGGTCTTTATTTCTACTTTTCCTTTCCTTTGTTACACAGGTTTTGTGTTGCACTTTTTTTCTCCAGAGGGATTTTTCTAGAGCCTTTTGCTGTCAGACAGAATAATATCAACGGTATTATATGCAGCTTCTAATATAAGCCTTATTTTGCTTAACGTCTGTCCTCCCTGAGGACTTAGTGTGCACAGAGTATGAAGCGGCTGTGGAATGCTGTGCCTTTGTCTGGATACCGTCCTGTTCAGTTACTTCTTTCTCTGTTGTTTTTTTTCCTCAGAATGTCGGTAAACTCTGTCTTGCTTCCAACAGATTGTAAGACTAATTACTTGTTTCCATTCCCTTGTAACCTGTTGCAATAAATACTACTTCTCAAACGTTCTAATATTGTTAAATCTGTTGGAGAAAATGAACCATAAAATTTGGTTTGCTGTTCATTTTTCAGTTCTTCAAGTCGACCTGGTCAAAGAAGCAGTTTCTCTTTATTAAATAAGGAGAATTATACTCAGGTTTGTAAAATACTAACGGGAAGGCTAGGAAGGGCCTCCGGAGGGCTGACTACAGATAGTGGCTGGTTTTTCTACTCTTGACTCTGCCACAAATTTGTTTTTTAACTGTGAGCAAATCCCTTAATTTCCCTGTTTCTTCATTTTTTGGGAAAAAAGGAGACAATGTTAGTATCCACTCTTAACACACTTTGTGAGTTAGAATATCTGAGTCCCTCATAATCATTTAAAAATGAATGTGATTCCCATAATATAAAGGTTTCCCTGTTACACAGACTCAAGGCTGTTGAACCTGAGTGTCTTTTGGTGTTCGTTGTGTAGACGAGTACTAACAAGAGCATTGTTTTATTGATTACACTGTTTCTAAGACCCTCATTGTATACTTTGTGTTATTGCCTCAGAGGCTAGGTTTTTCCATTATATACATTTTTGACATGTATCAACCTAATGAAGTAGCAGGATTTAAGACTCGGATCAATGCCATGTTACATTTGCTTCTTGAGCAAGAGCCCAGGAGTGTTTGACAGAGATGCATTGAGCTCAGGTTCTCTACATTTTTCTATGATGGGAAGGTTTTCAATCATAATGTCAACTCGGGACCCCCCCCCATTGCTCCATTTTATACTTAATTACCCCGTATCTGATAATCTGCCGATCTTAGAGATTTATCCAAGTTTTTTCCTGTACTCTCCTGTCATCACACTCTCATTTTGATTCTGTTTAAAGTTTATAAAAGCTTGAGGCTAGTGTTTGACATTTTAAATCTCAAATGACAACCTGTTAAATCCTGAGAGAAACATCTAATGCTAATTTTATTCTGCTCTAAACAATTAGACACATTTTATTTTTAACAGCCTGTGCTGTTATTTCAGAGCAGTCTCTTCACCGTATCATCTGTTCAGACTGGAAGGACTGAAGTAGGAACTACTTGAAGTAGAAATTATTACTTTGGTCTCTTTGCTGATCATTTTTCTTATTTCTTTGACTGAAAACAAAGGAATAGCCTAAAGCGATTGATAGGCTCAGTGCTTTTCCGAAGAATTACTGAGGAAAATCAACATGCTCACTTAATCCTGGAGGAGTTCTTTACCTTGAGGGAATTGTGGCACAAATTTTGTTCTCACAACCCACCCCCATTTCCCTAAAAATAGTCTTTATTATATTTGCATTTTATTAAAAACAAAGTTTATATTTACAGCCTGGTTCTTTGATATCTAAAGACAGTATCACTTTTCTTACCCTCCTCTCCCCTCAGCTGCATTATGACCAAGCCCCAGATGTTTTCCCCACCTCTTCTGTTCCCTGCCCTGATACCTTAGGCTTTCGAGCTTTCCGAATACAATCAATTCTCATTGTTCGCAATAGGTAGGTTCTACGGAGCCTCCCCACCCTGAATTAGCGAATTCTGAATCATCGCTCCTGGGGGACACGCTGGGTTAGGTGAGCCTTCGGCCACAATGTTTTCCTCAGCCATCAATACATAAGGTTGCTTCATGTGTGTTTCTGTTTAAAAACACCTCATTTAATATAGTTGATTCATTAACTTGAGCTCAGAGCCGCACTATAACTTATGTCTGAAGGAAGCTTCTAACTCATGCATTTTTTTCCATAAGGCCCATCCCCAGCCTTGGCCATTTTACACAGTGAAATCAGTGACAAGATACAAAAATGTGAAAAAAGTGGCACAAAATAGGCCAGGAAAAGGACACCTTACAGCTTGAGAGCTGAAATCATTGGGCGGAGCTTTGTCCCACCTCAGCTAGGAATCTGTGTCAGGCGTCTCCAGTTTCCCTTCTGGCACGTCCACAGATGACCAGGAAGTGCTGTATGGGTTGATTTTGGGAGTTACAAATATTTTAGCGAGTAAATGAACTTGCAGACAATGAAGTTCAACTACAGTTTATAAAGAACTCGGATTGGCCGTGTCTTCCTTTGGCACAGAGTCATTTCTTTCATCAGCATTCCTGTCACGGCCACCGTTGCTTTCCTTGTTCAGTACTCTGCGGCCAGCTGAATCGTTGCGTTGCAGGGCGCGGTTTCCCGTGTCATTTTCTGTTCAGCACTGGTAGCTAACGTGTATTGAGAAGTTTCTGTGTCCTGTGTACTATCTGATTTCTCTCTCACTACTGGACGTAGGAACATTAGCCATCCTTCCCCAGCCGCCCTAGCACATGGGCGTTCCTTTAGGAAAAAGTGTGCCCTGGTCACAGAAGCATGGGACACCCTGGGCTGAACTAGGTTAAAACTTTTTTTTTTTTAATTCCTGTGAAGTGTTTTCTTAGAGCTTTGTATAAAATGTCTCTTGTACGGTTTTAGGAAGTGTTAATTCTGTGGTGTTTTCCATACTCGAGTCTTGGAAATTTATTTCTGGGAACACTTTGAGAAATAAAATTTGGGGAAACTGCTGCTCTGTTGACTTCAGAAAAATAGATAGAAGGCAGAGAATTAGCCAAAGGAAAGGGAAACTTAGGTGTGGATGTTGTGGCCTTAGGAAAAGCCAGTGGCCAGCCTGACATGGACAATAGAAATGCTGAGGCTGGAGGGAGGAAGAAGAGGATTTCCAGTAGCTTTGTTATTGCAGATTTCCGGTTTTGGAGTTGGTATTCTTGGGGGAAGATGAATTTACGTTTAGATTGGTGATTGGCTTACTATTCCCGAATTCTGCCACTGCCACTGCCACTGCCACTTACTAGCTATGAAACCCTGAGGCTGTTTGTGTGTAAGTATGGTTTGAGAATTAACATGAAGAAGTGCCTCATGGTACCTGGAAACAATAAGTGATCAATAAATCTGAGCCCTTCTTTCCTTGGTGACTTTTTGGCTGAAGGGGTATTTCCCTTCCTCATCTGATGGCTTTTTAGCCTTTTGTCACAAGGTGGCGTGCTGCCTTTAAAAAGAAGTCTGGAGTTGGTTTGGAGCCTGCCAGTGCTTATTTTTTGTAGCAGACTTAAGACAGCTTAAGTCATTTTACACAGGGTTTTTAGATGATAATATATGCATCTTCAATTTTTTAAGCTGCAGTAAATAGGATATTTTAAATTTCTGCAAGTGTGGCAGGACAAGCTTTCTAGACCACCATGGATCATGCCAGCACAGACATCACCGGATCTTTGATTTGGGAGCACCCTCTCCAGGTGCCAAAAAGGGATTCAGTATGATGCTAAGTGTATTTACCTCCTGGTGTGCAGGTTGTGAATTTACAGATTAATATTTTATTTTGAGATAACTTCAGACATACAGGAAAGTTACAAAAAATAGCTCAGAGAATTCCTGTATAACCTTTAGATTCCCCATATGTTAACACTTCACCACACTTGCTTTGGTCTGTTTTTTCTGAAGCATTTGACAACATGCTGCAGACAAGATGCCTCTTTACCCTTGAATACTTTTGTGTATATTTCCCCAAGTCACAACTGGTGTACAGTACCAAAATTAGGAAGTTAATGTTGACGTGGTACTAAACACTTCATTCAAATTTTGCCAAGTGGCCCACTATGTGCTTTCTATAGTAAAGAAAAATACACTTTTTTTCTGTTCCAGAATCCACTGTAAAGTAGCTGTTTTTCTCTGTAATATTAAAGTAACTTGCAGAAGAGAGACTGATTAATAAATCAAATAGAACAAATTCATTGTGTTTTCTTACTAACAGCATTATGTGGACTTGCACTAAAGTGGCCCTGTGATATGACAGGTGTGTAACAAATTGTAATCTTTACCTTACAGTCATAAATGCTTCTCGTCTGTTGAAGAAAAACCCAGATGCCAGAGGAGAGGGAGGAATTAACCTCATCCTGAAATCTGCCTGTTTTCATTCCCTTCCAGCCCAGTGTCTCTTGGGCCAGAGCACTGAGCTTTCATTTTATATAAAATTTGTGATATTATTTCATTATAAAAAGGAATATTCTCTAGAAAATGGCTGGAAAATAGTAGAAAAAGTCATTCACATTACTGTCTTAAAGTCTACTAGTGGCTTTTTGGTGTATAAGTTTTAAATCTGATTTTGCAAGTTAGCACAGAAACCTCACCATTAATTTTTGTTTGTTTTTTGGGGAGAGATAGTTTTTAAAATTTATATATATATATATATATATATATTTTTTTTTTTAACAGAAGTACTGGGGATCGAACTCAGGACTTCGTGCATACTAAGCATGCACTCCTCACTGAGCTATACCCTCCCCTGTCACCATTAATTTTGACAGTCGTTCATGAAGAAATTCTGTCTCAAAGCAATCAAATACATTTGTATTCTGTGTGTGTAAAGGGCACTCCTGGGTTTGTGCAGTGCACAACTTATGCAAATGAATGCATGGCCCTGACTGTTGGTGCTGTGTACACCTTTTAGTTGTAGCCTGGGGCTGGGTACTTGAGAATTGTTCAGGGGAATACTTGCAGGTACACACAGTCATACTAAGGTTCACAGCAGAAAGGAACTAATGAAAAAAAATTGGTTGAATTGATTAACTGAATTTTATGCCAAGCCCTTTGCCTGCCCATTCGCAAGGACCTCGGGGTCTGTCTGGGCTCATCGGCTCTTGGAGGGCTTAGGTCTTCTCTTATGCTCTCAACTACAAAAGGTATACTTATTGTCCACAGAGGTGATATCAAATAGTTCTATTCACCTGAATGCAAAAATGAAACAAGTCCAATTTATACTCATATTCATTATAAATTGTTATACACATCACTAATTACAAGGAAAAAGTAGCTAGTATCCTTTGCAAGTGATTATGTTTTAACTAGGAGTATGTATGTAAAGAAACCCTGGAGTCTGCCTCTCCCCTGTTTTCAATAATTGGGGGGCCCAGAGAAATCGCTCCTGCCTGTATTTCTGCCCTGGGATGAAATTTTAGGCAGGCATCATCCTCCGTCTTCCTAGAGTGCTGGCGAATGTACTGACCCGAGCCCTCCCCGGAGCCAAGTGCTGCTCCAAGTACCCACTTTGACCAGTTTCCGCGCCCTCACGATGCAGCTGGCCACCTTCCCTCATCACAAGCTGGAGGCAAAGAGGAGGAAATCTCTTTTCCTATATTCCCATCAGAGAGCCGAGGGGCACCGTGAAGAACAGGAGGTCTGACTGCACCACATGAAGATACCTCGCTCACCAAACAGTAAGGACGGTTTCGGATGTTCTCATCTAAAACACGGGCTTTCTGACATACAGCAGATTTATTCTGGGGCGCTCGGGGGCACCTGAGAGATGAGCGGCTGTTTTCTAGCAGCAGAAAGCAGCATACCTAGTGACTAGGCAGGCTTTTTAAAAACACTATGGACAGAAATAAGTGATGGTAAATGAAATAAAAGTCACAAAGGCAGATGCTCCAAGCATGGGCTAGGACCTGAGCTGTTCTCCACGCTGGCGATTTCAGGGTGAGACGGCAGCAGACATTTCTCCAGTTACGGTACATCAGCCGGCGCCCTACAGACACGGAGACAGCCTCCTTTCTCTGCCCCTACCCCGCCTCCATCTCCTGCCTGTGGACCTCCCCTCCCCACCCCCACGCTCATCAGCTCCTCACCCTGTTGGCCTTGGCCCCATCGGGAACAAGAGGGGCTCGCTCAGCCGCTTCCTCTCCCAGGGCGCTGAGGTCCCGCCTGCAACTGCACGGCTGAGCACTGCGGAGCCCCCAGGGGGCGCTATTCACAGTGCGGGCGCAGGAGATCGTACGTTCACTTAAAAAGAAAATTGGTGGTAAACAGTAAGGTCCTACTGTATAGCACAGGGAACTATATTCACCGTCTTGTAGTAACCCATAATGAAAAAGAATGTGAAAAAAATGTATAATTGAATCACCATACTGTAAACCAGAGACTAACACAGCATTGTAAATCAACTATACTTCAATTTAAAAAATACAATAATTTTAAAAAGAAAATTCATAGTACAAAGCAAAATGTCTTGAAAGACGGATGTCTTCATCTAATTCACACAGCAGTACCTTATGGACCAGCAGTGGCTTTGATCCAGCTACTCCATCATCTCAGGGCGACCTGTTCTTCACCCAGGACCCACTTTCCTCCATTGACCAGCATACTCCAAAACCCCGTATCTAGCCTTCCCTAGTCCTCGTCCATGACGTGCTCTATAGAATATATGCAAGAATTAAACACTCCTCCTCCCCTCGAATTAGACAGTCTCAGTATCAAATGGGGTCTTTTAAGGAACTTCTGTAACCAAATAAACCTAAATAGTGGGAGGGGGTCTGTTTTCTCCTATACAATGTTATGGAAATTCTTTTTTTCTCGTATACAATGAACATATCGTATAGATCAGGAGTCACCAAACTCTTTCCGTAAGGGACCAGGTAGTAGATATTTTAGGCTTTGGGGGCAAACAGTCCCTTACAACTACTCATTTCTGCCTTACAGCACAAAACGCCTTAGTACATAAATGAATGTCACTGGGTCCCAATAAAAGTTTATTTATGGGCCCTCAAATTTAAATTTCATATACTTTTCATGTGTGCTGAAATGTTATTCTTCTTTTGATTTTTTTCCCAACCATTTAAAGCTGTAAAAACTGTTTCTAGCTTATAGGCTGTACAAAAACAGGCAGCAGGCTGGATTTGGCGTGTGAGTTGCAGTTCGCCCCGTTATAATTTACAAGACTGTTTCCAGCTCAAACATTTTATGATCATGTACTTGGCTTGACTAGAAATTAAAGTCCCAAGTTATTAATCCCATCTGTTAGTCATTTATTTGACAAAGTAGAATACTATAAAAAAGGACTATCTTACTCAAATAATTCCTGTCCTTTATCGCAGATGACAGGCCAGCCCCATGCTGCCTCTGGATGTTTACTGAAGTAGGATGGTGCCCAGATGGGCAGCGCGGTTGGACTCAGTTGGGTGAAGCCAGTTGGGTGTCACTGGAAACCCTCCCCATAAGGTAATAACCTTGAAGAGCCTGGCCCGAGAGGAACCTGGAAACAGCGCTGGCCCCGGGCTTGGACTCTGAGTCTGCCTCTCACTTAAGCCATTGCCTTTAACCAAGAAGGGCTTTCTGGGCCTGAACCACAGTGACCACCTGCCGCAGGACAATGGACGGATTCCACCCCGAACCTTATCAGTTCAGCCTTATCGGAATCTGGTCCCCATGGCCAGCCTGCTTGCCCCTTACTAGCTGGGATACCTTTAATGGAGGGTGGCACAGAAGAGCTTACTTCTTGATTATCTGTCCCGCTTTCTGCTGGGCCTGGACTCTGAACCAGTTTTTTCTGCCGTGTACATGTCCTTCTCTCCCCACTGGGCAGCATCGCATGGCCCGACAGAGAAAGCTCTTCTATCTCAAGTTTCCTAAATGATCTGCGGGACGTCTTCCAATTTCCATCTACTAACTCTCTCTCCAAAGCTGTCCCAACTCAAGGTGCACCTAATTGATAAAGAAGATGGCTCACATGAGGACTTGCCTGAGGTGGGTGGGGGCTGCGAGTAGGCGTCCTTTCCTCTTATCACCCTGGATGGCAGCGTACACAATGGTGGGTTACAAAGTCAGCCCAAGAGCCAATCCCTCACCAGAGGCACAGGGCCCCAGCCAAGAGAAGGTGATTCCATCAACTAGTGCTAGAAGCTTCGTGTACCTGCCATCAGCGTCTCCTCTTCCCACTGTCAAAGTTAGGCTGCCAGGAGGTGCTTCTTTCTAAAGCAGACCTTACGGCAGTGTCACTTTGTGTGTGTGTGTGTGTCGAGAGGAGGAGTGAAGCTACGTGTCCATTTCCTAAATCTTAAGAGTCGTGTAAATGGGATTTTTAAGCCATAGCCTCTCAACAAAAGAGCCCATCTGTACTTGCACCATCAAACAAATGGGACCTAATGAAACTTACAAGCTTCTGCACAGCAAAGGAAACCATAAGCAAAACAAAATGACAGCCTATGGAATGGGAGAATATTTTTTGCAAAAGATGAAACTGACAAAGGCTTGATCTCCAGAATATATAAACAGCTCATACAACTTAATAGGAAAAAAATAAACAACCCACTCAAAAAATGGGCAGAAGATCTAAGCAAACGATTCTCCAGTGAAGACATATAAATGACCAATAGGCACATGAAAAAATGCTCAGTATCACTAATTATCAGAGAAATGCAAATCAAAACTACAATGAGGTATTACCTCACACCAGTCAGAATGGCCATCATTCAAAAGTCCACAGATGATAAGTGCTGGGGAGAGTGGAGAAAAGGGAACCCTCCTACACTGCTGGTGGGAATGCAGTTTGGTGCAGCCACTGTGGAAAACAGTATGGAGATTCCTCAAAAGACTAGGAATAGACTTACCATATGATCCAGCAATTCCACTCCTGGGCATATATCCAGAAGGAACCCTAATTCAAAAAGACACTTGCACCCCAGTGTTCACAGCAGCACTACTTAGAATAGCCAAGACATGGAAACAACCTAAATGTCCATTAACAGATAACTGGATAAAGAAGTTGTAGTATATTTATAAAATGGAATACTATTCGGCCATAAAATGACAACATAATGCCATTTGCAGCAACATGGATGTCCCTGGAGAAGTGAAGTTAGCCAGAAAGAGAAAGAAAAATACCTTATGATATCACTCATATGTGGAATCTAAAAAAAAAAAAAGGCAAATGAACTTAAATATAAAACAGAAACAGACTCACAGACATAGAATACAAACTTGTGGTTGCTAGCACGGAGTGGGGCGGGAAGGGACAGACTGGAAGTTCGAGATTTATAGATACTGACAGGTATATATAAAATAGATAAACAAGTTTATACTGTATAGCACAGGGAAATATATACAAGATCTTGTAGTAGCTCACAATGAAAAAGAATATGAAAACAAATATATGTATATTCATGTATGACTGAAAAACTGCTATACACCAGAAATGGACACAACATTGTAAACTGACTAAAACTCAATTAAAAAAACTTGCACCATCAGAAGACTTACAGGCCCAGCAGGTATCACTGCTGTCCAGTAGCTAATTCTCTTTACACGCCTTGCTCAATACAAGTGACACATCACGTACAAATTAAGTGCTAATGCAGTGCTGAAAATCCCCTTCACAGCCTTTCAGGGGATTAAGGGATCAGGTGACACAGGGCGAAAGTTCTTGTCACGTGATCACGAGGCCTCAGTAGCTCTACTGGGTGTTACTTAAGAAAACAAAAGCTTAGCTACACTAATTTTTAGAAGTTGAAACTTTGCAGAAAATAGGCCCAAATAAAGAAGGTGAAGAGGAAAAACTTCACGTAGGCTTTTAAAAAGCAAATTATGCAGTCTTTTATTTCTAGCTTGAAAAAAAAAATACTTAAATTACTAGGAAACTATTTATAAGATTAAGCACATTTTAAGCCAGGAGACTGGATGTGAAGGGCCGCTCAGTGTCCCTTGTTGGGACAGGCCGGGGCAGGTTACGTGACCTGCCCAAGGGGCTGAAACTCCTTGCCAGAATCAAGGAGAAGACCCCGTCTCCTGACTGCCTGGCCCAGCCAACAATGCACAAAATATCAGCATGGGGCCACGGCCATGTTGCTAACCAATAGTTCTGTCTTTTTAGTGTTTAAAAGAAAACTTGATTGTTTTGGTATGTAGAATCATTCTAGAAAATGAGTATGATTTAGAAAATTCTTTGTTTAAAGAAAAAAAATCAGTCTGTCTCTCCCGCGGGAGCTACGACCTCTCCCCAGGCACCCACGGGTTTCTTGGTGACAGGAGTATGGAGTCCTGGGCTCCCTCAAGTCCTGACAGTCACATCAGTGGGTTCACTGGCTTGGAGTCCTCCTTCCACGGGCTGCTGGCTCGGACCCGTGCTTTGGTTCACAGTGCTTTGGAGAACATCTTCTCCCTCATTCTCTGGGGACAAAACGATGGATACAGAATCCCAGGCATCATCCTTTGGCGAGCTGTCGTTGTCCAAGGCATCTAAGATGGGCTGATCCGGGTCCTTTAAATACTTGAGAAGATTGAAAACCACCATCATGATTAGTTTCTCAGTTCAAAACACCAGACCTTTCTGCTTTAGTTTTAGTTGGCACAATCCTATTTTATGCAGGGGTAGCTTTCTGTTCTGCCCACCAACGAAACAACCTCTAACACCTGAATATCCCCATCACTCCTCATCTTGGTAACGTGCACACAGATCCAAGGACCAACCAAGGGAACGCTCTGAAGGCGTGAAGGGGCATCACTCAGGAAAAGCAAGTTCTCACTTGCTGCACTGGATGCGGGCTGGTGGATTATTCATCCTGAAAAGTCTCTGGAATTCTAACTTTTCGGTGAAAGAGGAAACGGGACCTCTCATTCACCAACAATGGGGACAAAGAGGAGAAGCTCACAAGCTTTTTTCGCAGCCACTCTGCCCACCGGTTGTTTCTACTTCACACAACACACACGGTACAGAGGATCTGGGCCCACAGCGGTGGCGGTGCAGCTCTGGGAGGGTCAGAAAGTGCGGATCTTCAATGCGAAGTGATGGCCCACCCGGCCTGACTCTCCCTGGCCCTCCTGCCTGTGCTTTGGGCTTAGCCATAAGCCCAAAGTCACAACCAAGTGACTAGAGCTCCTTCTAGAAGCACCACTCTGTCTTTATAGACCAGCTACAACACCCTAAGATTCTGTTTCCAGTATTTTACCCTGATTTTACTTGGTAACTTTACCCAGTTACCAAGAACCTACTGCCTGGCTCTTGGAAAGGCTGAAAGGTACTGAAATACAATAAACTTAGCGCTGGCTGATTCAAAGAGGAACAGTAATGGATCATGTGCACTTGTGAAAGCTTGAAAATATAAGTGAAACATGATTCATTTTTCTCACGTAACTTCAGTGACCTTTGATGTAGATTTTTCACACTTTCCCAGGAAAGTGAATCGAAAGACTTTATTGTTTTAGATTAAAGCTCAGAAGGAAACAGCTAGTAGTAAATTCACATACTAGGGCCCAGCTGCTATTTCCACTCTGAGAGAGAGATTATGAATGCAAGTAAAATTCTGAGTTGAGAGCTGTTAAGTACGTTGTGACCATATTAACCATGGAAGTTTTTTGTTTTTGTTTTCCTTTTTGTGGTAAGAACATGTAACATGAGTTCTACCCTCTTAGCACATTTTTACGTGCAGAACACAGTACTAACTACAGGCATGATGTGGTACAGCAGATCTCTGAACTTACTCATTCTGCAGAACTGAAACTTAACACCGTTTGAAAGCACCTCCCCGTTTCTCCCTCCCCTTGGCCCTGGTAACCACTATTCTAGTCTCTGCTTCTGTGAGTGTGACTATTTTAGATGCTTCACGCAAATAGAATCCTGCAGCATTTGTATGGAGGTTCCAGGATGGAATTTAACATGTAATTTGCATAACGTCTGTGTACCTTAAACACCTGACACCGATAAAGACAAGAGACTAGAGCTCTTTCTAGAAGCACCACTCTGTCTTTATAGACCAGATATAACACCCTAAGATTCTGTTTCCAGTATTTTACCTCGATTTTACTGATGAATGATAAACCCCTAGAAGCAAATACTTCTAAATATTCTTTTTTTAAAAAAATCAAAGCATCAGATGAAATTTTTTAAAGAGATTTCAGTTTTTGAAATACATAACTATTACAGCACAAACACAGCATTTACAGGTTCTAAATACGTCTACATATTCTTGATCAGCTAAATTCTGAGCCTAATAATGTCCTGGCTGTGACCTCAGAGGGCCTGGCTGCCACAAGGAGCCTCAGCGGGGCTGGGGCTGGGCAGGAAAACAAGACTTTCCGCAAGACCCACCCACTCCACTTTTCTTTCTTAAATCTTTTAAAATAGTAGTAACATTCCCTGAGCCCTCGATGTGCAAGGCTTTGTGCTCATGGCTCAGGGTGTGTTTACCCCAGAATCCTCCTGAGTGCACTTTGTCTGACCCAGAGCTTGGGCTCTTGACTGCTGTTTCCACTGCCTTCATGTCCTCCAGCCAGGCTCCCTGGGGGCATCACGTCGTCCAGCCAGGCTCCCTGGGGGCATCACGTCCTCCAGCCAGGCTCCCTGGGGGCATCACGTAGTCTGGCCAGGCTCCCTGGGGG